CAGAGCAATTCCAGGGATGGGGCAGCCACAGCTGCTCTGGGCAACCCATGCTGGGATCTCACCACCCTCCCAGGGAAAAATCCCTTCCCACTGGGATCCCATCCAACCCTGGGAAGCCATTCCCTGTGTCCTGTCCTTCCATCCCTTGTCCCCAGTCCCCCTCCAGCTCTCCTGGAGTCCCTTCAGGCTCTGGAAGGGGCTCCAAGGTCTCCCTGACACCTCTCCCCTCTGCTCCCCTCCAGGACATCCGTAACACGGTGGGAAACATCCCCATGGAGTGGTACCAGGACTTCCCACACATCGGCTACAACCTGGATGGCAAGAAGATCTACAAACCCATCCGGAACAAGGACGAGCTGGACATGTTCCTGGAGAAGATGGAGAACCCTGACTACTGGTGAGAACCTCGGGGAGGTGTCCAAGGCCAGGCTGGACAGGGCTTGGAGCACCCTGGGACAGCAGGAGGTGGGAATGGATGATCCCCAAATCCCTCCCACCCCAAACCGTTCCACAAAGGCCGGTGGGACACCCTCTCCCAGGTGGGATGTGCGTCCACACCAGGGCTTGAAACCCTCCCCTGGTTCCCTGGAGTGTCGTCTGGGGACCCCTGAGGTTCTCCTGGTGTGACTCCAGGGATGTGTGGCTTTGGGAGAGCGAGGGGGATCCCACCCGGCACGGCCCTTCCATCCCATCCCTGCCTCACCTTCCCTGGGCTGTTCCTGCCAGGAGGATGGAGCAGGGCAGTCCCTGGAGCAGGGCAGTCCCTGGAGCAGGACAGTCCCTGCCTCACCCTCCTGACCCTTGCCATGCCATTCCTGTTCCCGTTCCCATTCCCGTTCCCGCAGGAGGACGGTGCCGGACAGTCCCTGGTGCAGGACAGTCCCTGGAGCAGGACAGTCCCTGCCTCACCCTCCTGACCCTTACCATGCCATTCCTGTTCCCGTTCCCATTCCCGTTCCCGCAGGAGGACGGTGCCGGACAGTCCCTGGTGCAGGACAGTCCCTGGTGCAGGACAGTTCCTGCCTCACCCTCCTGACCCTCCCCATGTCATTCCCATTCCCATCCCCCTTCCCACAGGAGGATGGAGCAGGACAGTCCCTGGTGCAGGACAGCCCCTGCCTCACCCTCCTCACCCTCGCTGTGCTGTTCTCATTCCCGTTCCCATTCCCGTTCCCATTCCTGTTCCTGCAGAAGCACGGTGCAGGACAGACAGTCCCTGGTGCAGGACAGTCCCTGCCTCACCCTCCCCGTGCCATTCCCACTGGTGCAGGACAGTCCCTGCCTCACCCTCCCCGTGCCTTTCCCACTGGTGCAGGACAGTCCCTGCCTCACCCTCATGCCCCTCCCCATGCCATTCCC